CCCCAAAACCCCAAAACCCCAAAACCCCGCATGAAGTTTTAGCATTGGCAATTATAAGTTTGTAATAAAATTAGACATTTTGAGAAAGTGATTAATTTTTATATATATCCAGAAGAAGAGATTAACTTATCAAGTCACGAACTGTTTCCATATTCGCATTTCATGCCCAAAACCTATTATTATCTTATCCTACTCAGTTCTGGTACAAATGAGTGTTATAGTGATAGAGTTGTTTCATTTCATAGCTCTTGGCAATTAATATATTAAGATCATCATCGTTCCATTTGGATGTTGGTAAATTTTGTAAAAATAGCATAGCCTCCTAGAATGCTAAATTCTTGAGGTCTTTCGAAAATTGAAGGAACAATGCTGCGCAAACGTAGCAATGGAATTAGGAGAAGCCTTCATCCTCTGCAAAATAAGTGTCCCATAATCTAATGGTCTGTATTGTATTAAATTCACGAGTCAGGTAGCAACTAACCCATCTATAAGCAAAATCCATGAAGTTTATATCTAGCTGGTTCAAATGTTCTAAGGCTTCTGCATCCTTTTATTCAATAAGTTTCTTCATTTTATTTAAGATCTTATGAACACCAGGCTGTAGTTCCGTGTAGTTATCCTAAATATCATCCACAAGTTTACTTAAGCACCAGAATGTGTCAGCCTCGACTTAAATAAGTAGCTCTGGATCAATTTCTTCAATTTCTTTTTCATTTATTTCATAAATGTTATCCTGATTTGGATGATTAATATGCTCTGTTAAGAATACTAGAATTAAGGGAGCAGCCAAGTCATTTATACCCTATACATATCCACTGGCTGGATGCCTCATGGTCCAAGAAAATAGAATTCTAATTAGCATAACTTGCACTTAAGAAGTAGCGAAGATCTTATATTCGGGTTATGTGCGATATACATCGATCTTAATTTGCTTCATAGCTTTTTGCTCATATTGTGACATCTCCTTCTTAGAGAGTAATTCTTGCACCGAATCAAAACCTATTAGCCCAAAATAGTGCTCAATCATGTCTGTGTATTCCTCTCTTTTTCGTTTTATAGTCTCACTAACGATTTCTTGATCGTTCGGTTAATAATCAAGCAATAGTCTCCAAGTGTCGCATCGGAAACTAGCATTTGTAGAGGGGATCCCATTCCAAGAAAGCGTCTTTAACTAATCTAGGTCTATGATTTTCTGAGAGAGCACATTTTAAAACTTTTTAATTTTCTTATCTAATTAACTTCTCTTTATCTCTTCAAGCTTTGCTTCACGGCTGTTCTCATCTGAATGGGAATCCTTGTCCTTTGTTGAATCTTCATCATATTACTTATCCTCCTCCCCGTGCTTCTGCTCTTCATCGAACTAACTATCATCTTTTCTATTCTTAATAAAATTGAAAAGTTTTTTCATTTTTAAATATTTTAATTTTTATCCAAGTCATATTATAAAAGACATACTAATGCTTGTGGGGTTTTGGGGTTTTGGGGTTTTGGGG